GCCACAATTTTCTGGTGTAGTTGTCTATAAAATTGTTTTTGAGATGACAGTTGATTGGGGGCATAAACCCCCACTATTAAGCACTTTCTTCCATTTAAGTTTATTTCCACCAATAAAAATCTCCCTTCTTTGTCAGTTTCTTTTAAGATAGGTGAAAGATGTTTCTTTATATATAATGCAACCCCTGCTTTTTTTTTAAAAGCAGGTGTAGTAAACAAGTCTTCAAGCTTAGAATTTAACAATAATTTTTGATCTTTAGCCACAATATGAGTCTCTTGTAAACATATAATATCATTATTAAAATGTCTTAAATAATGAAAAACCTTACGTCTTTTGTGGGGTATATTGAGCCCTCCCACATTCCAAGATGAAATTTTAAACATTAGCTGATTTCAGTCCTATGGCAATACTTGAAGCATAAGACTTGGCAAAAACCTTAGGTCGAGCGCCACCTACTGGCTCCGAAGTAGCAGGTGGCGAGCTGTCAGCTGATGGGCGGGCTGTCAGTTGTTGTTCTTTCTCCTTACGTCTGTGAGCTGCGCGGGTCATTCTTTGTTCTTTTCCATCGTCTTTCAAACGCCCATTTGCGTCCTTAACGCCGGAAATAGAAGGGAGGTCCACAATCAGATGCTCAGCTACATCAGTCTTTTGGGCTGTGAGTGGGCGCTCTACTTGCAACACAGACGCCATAAAGTCGTTCGCTTTTTTAATCGAATTAATTCTGTAATGCTTACCAGCCACTGTTACAATTATGCCCACCGGTACATCCCATCTGAAAATTATTTGTCTATTCTTAAGTTCCTGCACCAAAAAAGCATAGTCTCGATGCGCTTTAAGTATTTTCGCTGGGATTTCCTTTAAAAGAATAATATCTTGATTTAAAATTTTAAATCTTTGTTGATAAAAAAGCTGCATTATTTCATTTCGTCTCGCTTTTCTTGTGAAATAGACCACCACGTCTCTTGGCAAATTTCTCTGACGGGCCACCCAGGAATTCACCCTGAAGACACGTTCTATTTCATCATGAATTTCCTGCCCACAAGCCAGGGCATCCATAAATGCTTCTGGGATTATTTCTCTTAAATTCTCTTTTGGATCCTCAGCCAACCCGCGGATCCGGATCGCATACTCCATGTCCCGAAATTGAGCAACCAAGACATCACCCTTAACATTTTCCAAAGTTTCCTCTACAAGTTCCAGTCTTTGCACGCTCTCTTCAGCCCTCTGTTCATTTTCCTCCACCCTTTCTGCCACTGCATCCACATATTCAGCTAAACCTTGAAAAGCAGTTGTCACATTCATACGAAAGCCCTCGTGTTTCTGTAATAATTCTTGTTGTTGCTGTATTACTTGATCAAATCTGTTTTCCATTTTATCATCCATTTTTTGTAACATCTCTGTCATTTGCTTAATACTTTCAGTCATTAAATCCTGTAGTTCTTTGCCAGAGGGCGGTGGAGGTGAAGAAGATGGCGGGGGTGGCGGGTGGGAAGCCGACTTAGAAGTTGGTTGAGGCGGCTGGGAAATCGGAGATGTAATTGTCTTTGAAGTTGTGGGCGCCACTCTTCTCAAAGCCATATTAGCAATTTGAAATTTCAATCAATGTAAAAGTCTTTTAAAGTCTTTTATACAACTAATCCAAAGCGAATAATAAAAGTATTAAAAGTAGCAAAAGTTCCAGACCGGAAATCCGAATCACTTTCACTTCTTCTTGCTAAAAAGTATCATTCCATCGCCATTTTAAATTCACTTTCACTCAATCCCCCCAAGTATAGGGAAGATCAGAATATCCAAAGTTAGAGTAAAATCCAAAATAGGAAACAAACTTCCAGGGTCGGTTTGTCTGCATATAATAACTCACAGTTCAATTTAAGTTGCAGCGGTGGCGGCGGCTTCTAGCTTCGCCGAAGCGAAGGCGTCCTGGATCACGGAGAGTCCTCGGGGCTCCGGAGGAGTTCTAACCTACATCGTCCACATAGGACGACTCGGGAACTCAACTCCTACCCCGGGCAGCTGACCGATCCCCTTATGCCCGGGGGAAAGGTATCAAGCCGTTTGACAGCTGATGCTTGCTGTTAAAACGGCTTTTACGCGATAACAGGCGGGAGGCAGCTGTCGGCTGCGTCCGACGAGGTCGCCTGCACACCGGAAGTTCCCCCCAGGAGATTCTTAGTATGGTTGCTAGAGTAGATTCTACTCGGAAGCGGTGGCCTCTGCAGTGATGCTCAAACTGATCCCTCTGATGAAAACATCATCATAGTAACATGATACAATTCCTGCCCCTTTTAAATGTCCATTATGACACCATGCGCATGTTGAAAAGGAGGAGAGTTTGTGGCACAAAACTGCTATTATCATTTTAACAAAAACAGTCACCGTGTTTTATGGTCACCCATAACGTTTGCTTATTAAGAAGAATAAAAATCCTAATAGGAAGCTTAGGCACAGCATTCTTTTCCTTTTGCAATTAAATGTTGAATGTATCTAATAGCAATTGAAATTTCTTATAAATATTATTTCCATGGTTCTTGGTCTTACAACAGCATGGAATGCGCTTCCTGAAAGACAAGCGAGGGTGGTTGACTGACTTACTGTACTTGAAAGTTACTTAATACTGACTCTGTGGAGTATGACAAGGACTCATTAGACAGAGTATTGTAATATGACTTGAAGTATGTTCCAAAGCTTATTGAGTTGACTTATTGTTCTTCCTCTTCCAATTCCAAGATTTTTCTGAACTTCTTGAGGAAACCCAACATCATCGCCCTGAGTCATAACCATTATGAACTCATTCAAAGTAAGTGTTAAACTTTGAATGCAAGTAAAATGCAGATATGTGCATAGATTATCCTAGTGGTGATAATCTGTGTCAATTTGGGACTCAGATTTATAGTTGACAGTAAAAAAAAAATGATCCAGAAAGGAGGGAAGGGGAAGATGGTTTGTGTAGGCAGAACAAGAAAGGATCTGGTTGATTTTCCCTAGCAGATTGATGCATGGAGACCTGATCCTGGTATCACTGTCAGCACTGTTATTCTTTGCATCGGGGGTACCTGTGCTAAAGCTTACTCATGATTTAATAATGGATGAGAGGGCTCCCACAGCATGTATAATCAAGACCTGGAAAGGTGCCACCTGGGCTTTCAATATAGCCACAGTTACCGCCCCAGAGCAGAAGCAGTGGAAAGGCTATAGTTGCTGGAGAGACCCTAATAGCTTTCAGAGACCTCAGAGATCAGCTGTGTGGTTGAGCCAAGATAGGAATTTTTAAAAGTATTACTTCGTGGTGAGAAGAGGAGCAAAACATAATTATTTTCCAACTGCTATTGCAGAGCGCTGTCCAGCCACCATGGTCAGAATAATCCAACCTGCCCCTGGAGAAGGAAGAACCCCTACAAAACATCTATGAGGCCTGTTGTAAAGACTATTCTAGCCATCTGTTGGATAAAACTGAACTCACTCTGAGTTAGACTTCAGCTATGCAAGTGCCTTCTGTCAACGCTGTTAACATCGGATGTTTTTGCTTTGACAACAGTTGGAGATGCAACCATTTTCTTATGTTTTACTTTTAGAATTAGAGTTAGAATTAGAGTTAGAGTTAGAGTTATATGATGCTGGGGGAGGAATGTGCACGAGAGTTTAGCTAGACATAACAATACTGGATCTAGTGTGTGAACCAAGGTTATTGAAATAAGAGATGATAAGAATTGGCAGGCTGGAGAACTGGAGGGAAAGCCTGCATTTCAAACTAATTGGAGAATGTGATTTATGACTGTTAATTGGAGGAGGGAATTGTGCTTTGATACTTCAGTGCTGCGAGTGCAGCCAACTGTATCTTAGATCCATGTTTACCTGGTTGGATA